CAGTCTAATCAATCATCAAAACAACAGGCCAGAAAGAAAGAAAAAGTTAAAGACAGCATAGGGTGTAAAAATATGTTCAAGATACACTTCCCTAAGAACCAGTGACTATAGCCATTGGAGTCCATAACCCTTTACACACCAGGGCCTCTGGGAGCTCCAATGACTCATCCACTGTCCTCAATCCCAACATGAACCATGAAAGCAGTTTTCATGTGGAAGCACAGACAGTTCTACCCTCTGTAAATGCAGGGTTGGGTAGAGCCTTGAACCTGACAGCATTGGCCCCTGACAGCAACTGTGGGCTGGTACACAGTTGTGATCACCCACGTGAACCACTCTGATGGCCCTGGGAAGATGCCCTGACTCAATGATCAAGCCCCTTCCTCTTGAGAAACAGGCAAGCAGACAATCCCAAATCCTGTTCATGCCAGGCAAGACCTGGGTCAGAAGTGGGAAAGGGGCACACATACACCTTCCCTGTCCTCCTGAACTAGCTAGCTCTCTAGGACTGACCATGAGGCCTGCAAGACCTTCTTTCCCTACAAGAAAAGACACCCCCACATACACATACAGCTGGGGATATGAATCACTGAACAGAATCCTTGTCTTACATGCATGAGATCCAGGTTCAATCCCTAGCACCACTTAAGAAAAGAGGGGGGGGGGGCTGTCCCCCACCCAGTTGCTCTCAAGAAGGAGGCTAGGGGCATCTGCTCACAGAAGGAGAAAGTCATTGCCTAGCAGTGGCTGTGCCCAGTCAGCCTGCAGCGTCCTAGGACACTAGAACCTTCCAGACATCTTTCTGGCTAGTATCAGGGCCAGCCTTGTGATCTGGACCCTCCCTGCTGTGTTCTCTTCCTGCCAGCAGCAGGCCAGGTGTCCTGGACTTTGGTAGCCAAGAACAAGCTTCAAAAGGCTAAGTGGAAGGTGACCATCTTCAAAGAGTCCTCAGACTTCCCAGAAATCTCTGGCACCCTGCCCTGACCTCAGGTCAGTTGCCGGCAAATGAACTTGTGACAGCTCCATGAGGGCAGGGACTCTGATTGTCTGTCTGGTTCCCTGCTGTCATCCTGGCAACCCCAAGCATGAGACTGGCATACAGCTGGTGCTAAACACTGATCTGCTGGACTGATGTGCAAAGGCTTCTACCGGGAAAGGATGGAAAGCACAGCCCAGGCTTTCAAGCTAGACAGACCAGGACCTGAAACCTTCTAGAAACCACATTTATGGCTTCACTGTCCCCCCCCCCCTCATCATAGCACCTCAGAGAGCTCTTAGAGATGTTAGCTGGAAATAACATATAAAGCCTTTAGTATAACCCAAGGCAGAAACCTCTGCCATGTTTCCAGTTCACAAGCACTTATTTAGCACTTGTATGCAAATTGTTTTTCAATCATGGTGTGCAATACCAGATCACAATATCTTCAGTAAATTTTTGTAACAATCCTCTGAAGTTGGATCTATTTAGCATTCCCCTTTGCAGCTTCAGCCTTTGAGACACAGAGAACGAAGGCAACCCGCCCAAAGCCTGAGACCTTAAGTACAGGGCCACGGTTCGTATTAATTACACAGTCTAAACTGCTAAAGTGCTGCACCTGTCTGCCTCTAGGGCTGACAATCACTGCAACTGGTTTCTGTCCCAATCCTTGTAGGATTCCAAGGACATCTGACCAAACTGCCAGACTGATGTCTTCAGTTACAGAGGAAAGAGACTCAGGTACTCGCTCCCATGGAGAAGTGCCTTGTTTTGTCATTTTCACTATGGTGTGTACTCCCTTGATATGCAATTTCAGACAAGCGAGTTCACTAAAAACTTCCCTCCTGTCCCATCTTCCCACTATCTACCAGAAAAAGAAGCACACAGCTGTGCAAAAATAAGATAAGAAATGAAGGGCAGAGCTAAAGTGATAAAAGGCCTGTAAGCCTTTAGAGCAAATACAGAGGCAGTACCTGAGAATAAGCACCGTATATCAGGGACACAGAAGATGGATGGCCAGGCACACAACCTCAGCTGCCCAAGTCCAAGTTAACAGAAAATTAAGCCACCTCTTCCAAAGAAGGAAATCGTATCATAAAGAACTTTCCGTTTACTGTCCTACCAGCCATGATGGAAGTCTCATTAACAAAGTAAATCAATGACCTTGCTTCTTCCAGGGTTTCAGGATGAGTGACATCACACAAATGCTCAGAAATGGAGAGATAACACCCTCAAGGAAAACCCACCCGTTTTCACTTGGACATGGCTTTGACTGATGAATGGAACCCCAGATACTTTCAGAGCATTCATTTTCAAAGCACTTAGGGACTGCCATCTCTTGGGCCACCTAAGTTCTGATTCACGTATGTGATGGCAAAAGCTTGATCACAAAAGCTGGCTCTGGCCTTACACTAGCTCACATGACTGTACCCAAGTGGCTGACGTATCACTGTGGGAAGTCAAGTTTCTCTTCTCTCAAAGTCCCTGGCAGGGAAAAAACAGCTCTCCGGAAGTGGGGGTCCAGTCTCCACCACCCCAGTACCACACTTCCCTCCAAGAGAGCATGGCACAAAAATGGAGAGAGAGCTGAGGGGATTGTTTCCTCCCTGGGGAGACCAGGATACTGCAAGTTCACTGCAGACAGTCCATCTTGTCCTTCCCAGTCAGCAAACAAAATCCTACAGGTTGTGTACTCTCTGCCCTGTGGAAACCCACATTCAGTCCTAGCCTCTTCCTCCCTGGTGAGTTGTGATTCCTTAGACTGCTCCCTCAAAAGGGTTGTCTCATTTTAAAATCTGGCTGGCTACCAACACAGACAATAATCGGAGAGTGTTGACTTAAGGAAAAAGAAACCCATCTGGAAAACAGGAACGACCAGGAAGTACCCTAGTGATACAGATGAGTCCCACAGCCAAAACCAAGCTTACCAATATCCAATCATCCTGGTACATTCCAAGCCCTAAAACCCTGATGTCCAACGTGGCAAATCCCCAAAGACCTGTGGTCATCATTTATCTTACCATGATTTCCAGGAGCTCAAAGCTACACATCAAGGGCAAAGATGATCGGGTTAATTGTTGATAGGACAACTCAAATCTGAAGTTTCCAGTGATTCAGTTCCCCAGCAAGAAATCTTAACATTCATTTTCACAGAACAAGTTTTCAACTGAATTACAAACAAAGTAGCCAAGCTATTCACAAAGGAAAAATCTCAATGGAGAAAAATAAGTCACTTTTCTGGGGCATGGGCTCACTAGATAGCCCAGGCTAGCCCTAAAACCCCACATATCCTCCTGAATGTTGTTGGGACTACAGGCGTAGACTAGCATCACACAACAAGCCATTAATTTTGATTAAAACAATTTCTGAGCAAACAAGTGGGAGCTGCACACACAATGCCCCAAAGCTACAATTCACCACGCGTAACAAAGTCATCTTTAACCAAAAGCCAACGAAGGGGAAGCAAGGGACTCAGGACACCTAAGGCCCTGAAACTGTCCACCCACAGCAGCTGAGCAGTTCTGGCCCGACTTTGCTACCCTAGATACAAAGAGGATTCACTGGCTACAGCACAACTCACAAGAGCCTAAAACAAATGCCACAAGTTTGGGTTCTCACTCCCGGGTGCATGACAGGCTGAGGCTCAGTGCCACAGAAAGCAAAAGTGTCTTTGTTTCCATTACATCATCCGTGGTGAAGGGGGAGGGCAGGCGGGGCACAGCTGGTGGCAGCTGTGCCACCATCTGCTTTCCCCTCAGCAGCCTTTGCTGGTCTGAGCACAACCTCCTTGGGCTCCTCACAGAGAAGCGCAGGGTTAAAGGTACAACATCCTATTACAGAAATAGTCGGAATTACTGAGAAATAAATCACTCCTCTGAGTTAACGGCCTTGGGTAGTTGATGAGCTGGTGTTCTTGGAATTTATGCTTTGAACTTGGTGACAACACAAGCTCTGTCAACTCAATTAGACAAGCACTATATACAAACAACCACCTGCCATCTGCTTCCCTAAAGGTAGGCAGCCAAAAAGTGCAGGTCTGCAGCTGGAAGCATGCTGGTAAAGACGAGGGAACACTCCAACACTGTGGGGGCAAGTAAGCATCATACTACCTAGGGCACAGACACATGCTACTGCTGTGGGCATTTGGGAAGCTGGGCTTGCCTTCCTCACCTTCATGCAGCTTCCTTCAGAACCTACCTACGGGACCTCACCCAGGGAAGATGACGCTGGTGGTTAGGGGGAAATGGCAGGGAGATTGTGACAACAGCATCTCAGCTGGCCATTCAACTGCAAGCTGGAAGCAGAGTCAAGCAGGCTCATCAAGCCCACATGTATGTTTTATCTGGATAGTTCAGGGTTGTTCCTGGGATGCAGTATGAATATGTTTTGTAGAGAGGCATAGTGTTGAGACAGGCTCCATGCAGTCCAGGCTGCCCAAAACTTTCTGTATATAGCTGAGGATGACCCAGAACTTCTGGTCCTTCTGCCTCTACTTCCTGAGTGCTGGGATTATAGGGCGTGCACAACCATGCCTAGTTTCCCAAGTGCTGTGGATTATACCTTGAGCTTTGTGCTGTTAGGCAAGCACTCTACCAACTGAGCCACATCCCCAGCTAATAAAAATACATTTCATATACAAATCTAAACCACAGGCTCTTCCTGCAAGGATGGGAAGGATGCAAGAGACTCAGTCCTGTTCCCAACACCAGCTACATGGAGCTAAATGGCATGGCTCCCTTGAGATGGGGTTGTGTGCTGAAGAACTCGTTCCCTTCTGCATGGATGCCACTGCGGCACCTGGACCTTCAAAGCATCTGCCAGAACGCCTGTCAAGCACTAAGAAAGAGAGAATCCCAAGGGATGATATCCCAGTATCCCTTATCGACACTCCTCTGTAGTATGGCCCTGGTCCCTGGGATATCCAATTGTCATTCTACAAAGAACATCTGAGCTGGCTTCAGAGAACATCCCCTCCCATCACAGCAGGTTGTAGTCTCTGAAAAGAATGTTCCAGGCCACTTACCATACATTTTGCCTTCGTCTGATAAGATGATTTTCCTCCTCCCACAGGGCGGATAGATAGCCAGGGCCTCCTGAAAGCTCTGCTCGATGTCAGGACTCCAGACCCCCTCTGCATCATTGTCAATCGGCTTATCTGCCGAGTCGCTCATCCTTTCCATGTTTTCGGCAGGGCTTTCGCTGCCGCTCCAGCTGCTGGGCTCAATTTTGGCGGTTGGATTTTCCAAGCCGAAGCCTGGAGCCTTTTCAAGAAAACAAACCTGAAAGAGAAATCATAAAATAGTATAAGGACAGGTCCACCACAAACACAATGCTCCTATGAGCGGCACTACAGGTTCTTGGTTACCAGTGTTGCAGACATTAACTCCTGTGAAGAATACAGGATCCTGGGATCCTAGATGATTTTGTTCCCTGTGTGCCGTATTAAACAAGTATATAAGAAAATAAAGTAAAATAAAAGGTGTCGGCTTCATTGTAGAAATTGACATCAGTGAAATGTCAAACACTCAATATAAGATCATGCAAGAGTAGGAGACAGGAGAAACGAGGTTACTTTAGTGCCACAGTTACTCATCCTACTGAGTCAGTGATGCCAGTTGACCTGGACCTAGCACATTGATCTCTGGGGCTCTTACCCTGTGGAGTCAGGTCACTCGGTCCTAAACTCTAAGCCTGAATGAAGCAGAGACCAACCCAGTTCCTTCCCACACCTGCCACCCTTGTAGGATTGTTCCCATCCCCATGGGGCAGCAGCTGGTCCTGCAGCATACTCTCCTGGTCACATGGAAACTGTGGGGCAATCTTTCCTTCATTTTTCTGGGCAGTGAAGATAACAGAACCATAAGAAATCTGCCTCCAAAATGTAAACGCAGTTCCTTTCAATTATACATGCCCCCTATAGTCACAAGGGGATAAGCTTTCTAAACAAATGTCACACTGGCTTGACACCAAGGTGAAAATGATCTAATCCAGTACTCCCTGCTGGCTGCACACTAACATATCAATATTGCTTTGTGAAAACCACATTAGATCATTAATGCAATGGGCTCCCCCAAAAGGAGGGAGGAGAACTGCTCCTGGGGAACGATGGGAAAGGGATCACAGTGTGCCTGAGCAGGGAGGGCCTCATGCTGCTGCTTCCCTCACGTCCCTGTAATATTTCAACACAAGAAGCAAGAGTAAAGCAGGTAAGCACAAACAACTGAGCTCCTATTCCTTGCCTCTCCCAACTGTGTCCTCTCACCAACCTGTGGGTTTCAACAGAACCCAGGTACAGAAACTCTGAATGGTGCCTAATCCCAGGTGTAAGTGATAGGTGGCTTTGGACTCCTGGACTTGACTTTCTTCAATTTTGCAACATTTATATTTTTAAAAGAAAACATTGTAAGCTTGGTCTTAACCAACATTCAGGGAACATGATATTGACAGCCCCTTACCAACATATATACACTCACACAGGACTTCAAAACTTGCCAACATCAAGGTTTAACTTATGAGACAAGAAAGGATTTTGTGAGTAGCCAAGATGAACTCTGGGTGCCTTCCTTCCTCGTAGGCCTTTTGAATTTTCAAGTGATTACGTTTTGGGTTGGGATCTGAGAGTACCATAAAATTGGAGCTAAGCTGTAACCACCCTAGTGATTGCTTACTGGAGAAATTACGAGAATAGGAGGGAACACTGTGATAGTGGCTAGCCTCTCTCCCAACAAACAAAACAATGCACACACATATAAAACCACAGGCCAAGCCAGGACAGATCACAGCAGAATGAATTCACTCAAGGAAGCTGTACTTAAAGATACATATTAGATGTGTGGGTGCTCAACCACTATAGCCAAGGGATGGAATTCAGCAGCATTAGGACTGAGGGGTCTGGGCCTTTGCAGGCCCAGGAAGAAGGTTCTTAAGCAACTAAAAGTATAGTCTCCAGAAGAAAACATACCAACAACCCCCACCCAAAGCCTTAAGAGCCTCTATCTCATCAGCTGGTGACACAGGCTATGCCAGAACTCCCCAGTGGGAGGACACTCATTGGCTCCCCAGCACCTCCCACCTTCCCACTGGTATGCTGAAAGTGCTCAGCCAATTAGGTCAACACCATTTCCTCACTTGACTTTACCCTATCATCCCTGAGGGTCTATCCACCCTTCAGGTCAGCCTCTCCTCCAAGATCCATTTCCTACAACCTGACCAACCCTTGGGGTCCCAATGGACCGTCATAACTCTACTGACCCTTCACCAATGCATCTGAAATCTCAAGAGAGGGGACGGTAACCAAACTATCCACCAAGGATGGCCTCAGACAACAAAGTCCTGCAGACAACATTAGAGTTGTCTAAGGCTAGAGTCACACACATTAATTGGTCCATCTACCCAGGAAGCACAAACACAGCTCTCAACACTCCCACATTTTGATTCATTTGGAGTATAACAAAGAACTTTATGATTAGGCTCTTGCAATTTAGTCTCCTGGATCTTGGTGGGTGGAGTTATCTCCTCTGCACCTGAAGCAGCACACAGCCCCTGAAAACAACAGATATAAAATCTACAGAGATACTCGGGTTCTTTGTTTTACAACCCAACTGTAAGATGAGCCCCTGTATGGGCAGAGTTTCTGATCACAAGGCTGATGGGGCTGGCTGAGGCAGCTCCCCACACTAGATACCAAAATAACCATCCTGGCACTCCACTCCTCAGCTCCAAAGCCACCTCATCCTGGAAACTGCCCTTGTCGCTCTAGTGACTGTGAGTATCAGTCACACTTTACGAGCATCCTGCATATGTAGAGCTGGTTACCGCTCAATCTACCTTGATTTGAATGTATGCCAACCAAAAGGCACCTGCTTATTAATAACCAACATTAAGAGTGAATCAAGTCAGGTACAGTGGCACACACCTGTCATCTCAGACCTCTGGAGGTGGGACTGGAAGGACCCTGAAATAAAGGCCAACAGGGCTACATAGTGAGATCACCATCGTCATCAGTACCACTACAGAATACAATGGATTATTCACAGACCATCTGCAGAGCTGGTATCCCACACATCTTTTGAATGCGGGAAGTTCATTTTCCCTCAATTAAAAATGAAGAAGTGGGGGGGGGGTAACATTCAAACTGAGATCTGGATTCAAAACTTGACTCACTCACAAGTCACATGGTTCTTTTTAAAGCTCAAGTTTTCATTTACACAATGGAGATATTAGATTCTATCCTACTGCAGAAAAACAATGGGGGTGGCAGCTGAAACCTGACCCCATGAGATTAAGTGAGATAAAAGGAAGAGTTCTGTCCTCTGAAAAACCATGTGCCCTCACTTACTTACTATCCAGTCCACCTTCTCTAGACAGCAGCATGCCATGAAGCCAAAATACCTACAAAAAAAAAAATACAGCAGAGGAATAAAAGTGCCTCCCCTGAAAGTTCACTTAAAAGGGAAATCAATTTACAAAGGATTTGCATCTTAAGTCTTCAGAAGAACAAAAAAAAGTTCAGATTGTTGACAACTAGTTTCCTAATATCCACCTTAATTCAAACTTACAAAATTTCATATTCTCTTGGACAAGGTGGTTCAAGTGTCTCCGAGGACAGACTGTTGAAACCAACAGAAACATGTATGTGCTATGCAATCAAAAGGAGCCAGGTTTCCATCAGAAACACCATTCTATAGGCCCCTTTCCTCCTGAAATTTCCTAGACTCGCAATACTCAAAACACAGCTGTTAACAATAAGCCAAGCAGCCTATAAATTAGCCAGACAGCCGCCCTCCCACCATGGACATTCCTTTCTCAGAACCCACTGATACTTCAAGAAGGATCACAAGAGCATGGGGAACGAGTCACAAGTGCACTTGACCTGCACAGCCTATTCTAAGAGCCTAGGAATACAGGGAGGGGACAGCAAATGCAGACACTTCTGACACCAACTCTATATAGGATTACATGTGACAAGAGAAGGTACTATTCCTTTCAGATTCTCATGAGGCTCTCACCATGTAAACATCTTACCCCTTCATTAAAATTAGCCCTCGTGGTTAATAAAACACCACTGAGCATGAGGGTCAGAAAACACCGATGAACCTTGTTTTAGCCAGTGTCTTAACTGTCTATGAAAATGTAGGAAAGGAGTTAGACTATCAGTTGGACTTAGATGTCTGCCTAAGTACCTAGAACCACATCCCATGTGCCTCAGTGTCCTCTGTTAGCCATGAAGGAGGCCAATTCATCCATCTACCTACCATCTTGTATTCTTGTTTCTGTGCCCTTAAACTGCACCCTAGTGAAATCCAGGGAAAAAACCATTACACTCACCATAACATCTCCACCCCAACGATGACACAATACCTGATATAGGAACAGCTAAGAAAGAAGCGAACATCACCCAATGGACCCGAGCATGTTCTGATAATGTGACAGCTCATCCCCCAAACTCATGCTAAGTTTCCACGGAATAGTAAGTACTAAAAGAAACCACTCCAGCATAGTGGTGGAGCTCAGGGATGGCATCTGAGGTCCTGGGATCATCCACAATGGCACTTTGAGGTCCTGGGGTCATCCACAATCCACAAGAAAATGGCAGTTGGGGAATCGCCATATTAGAAACATGTCAAAGGACACACAAGCCAGACAGTCCCAACCATTATTACTGACAGCTAGCAGTTATGTGCAAGAAACAATAAGGTCTGAATCCTAAGAGATGGTTGCTTTCATCATAAACCTTTCTTAAAGGAATTGCTGACACTTTTTCCTTGTTCTTTGGACTACTGGAGAAGAGAAAGAACTAGAATTCAAAGCTGTAAGAAAAGCAAGGGAGGGGTAAAAAGATGTAAAGACCAGAGGCCCCTCTTCAACGGGAGAGGAACTGGTAAGGCCAATGGGAGTAAGTGGGGGGAGCAGGGTGGAGGGGAGGAGTGCTAATAAGCCGAGATCTTCACTAACTCAAGAGGTACCAGAAGCAGGAGCCATTGGGGGAAGGGAATTGTGGGAAAGGGAAATCACACAAGGGAGATATTTATAGCACTCAGCTTGACCACGAATTGGATGGCTTGAAGGTCACAGTGATCTTCACAAAAGTCCAGATGTTTTATGTTAAGAAAAAAATCTACACCCCATTACACACACACACACACACACACACACACACACACACACACACACACACACACACACACAAAATCCTGAGGAGACAAGGAACTTTCCTTCCAATGTAATCTCAGACACATCTAAATACAGTTCCACAGCTTCCCAGGGATCCCAGGTGAAG